TAGAGAGTGAACATAGAAATAAATAAGACACCTTTCAAATGTCTGCAAGAGCATTATATGTTCCTCACGAAGAGGATAATTATTTAACTTATTTCCATTTGGGCATCAGGTGCGGCAGCATGAACATTTTAGTGTGTTTATTTCGAATTTTATACCATTTTCTTTGTATACCCTGAGCCCATTAAAAATGGGTATAAGGGTATATTGTATTTGTGCGAAAGCCAAATGTATGTAACAGGCAGAAGGAAGCATGTCCGTCTGTCTGTCCGTCCGTCCGTCCGTATGTATGAACACAAGGATATCAGAACCTATAAAAGGCTAGAGACTTGAAATTTTAGATGTAGGTGCTTCTAGTTCCCGCGCAGATCGAGTTTGTTTCCGATAATCGATAACTTACTCCGTTTCCACGCAATCGATAAAAATCGATCTCGATATCCTGTTTTTTGGGCAATTTTGGTAAATAATAAGAGCTAGAGTCACCAAACTTGACATATAGCTTCTAAAATAGAATATATATATATGCATTTGATGTTGGAAGAAGAGGGTTCAGGGTATCCCCCAGTCGAGAGCTCCCGACTAGAACCTCTTACTTGTTTTTATTGGGCTTTAAGAGACTTAAAAGCGCCTGCAATTTAAGGGCAACTGATGGCTATCGGCGAGAGAGAGAGAGAGAGACTCGGTGCAGACGATGGGGGTCAAGACAAAGACAAAGGCAAAGGTTCATGCGCCAGCAGCTGCTAAATGTGGCAAGTGGCGAATGAATAGGGGCAAAGTCAGAGTCAGACATTGGGTTAGTATTTTTATTTTTTTTCGTAAATCTAAAGAGTAAAAAAAGTAATTAGCAAGTCGCTACAAAATAATTATTTAATTAACAAAAGTGGACGCTGTTTGGGGCAAAGCATGCAGCTTGGCCCCAGTGCATGCCCATCCCATCCCCTCCCCTCTCTTCTCCTCTCCTCTCCCCGCCCCTCTGCACGCTTGAGCCTCGTCTAGGCTACTTGGCATTCTTTTGGTCTAAATGTTCATTCATTCGTTTCATTTATCTAACTGGCTGCGAGTGTGTGTGTTTTCTGTTTGCCCCTTATAAATAGGCCCGTCTGAAACCTTCGTGACGTGCAACTTTGTGCCTCTAATTTAAATTTAATTAAGTGGCCCCAGCCCCAGCCGCAACTCCAACTCGAACTCGAACGTCGGCGAGTCGGCATTAGTTTTGCCGTCGTTATAATGAATAAAGTTGCGAATGCGCCTAAAATGTCTGCGACTGCGGCCATACTTATGAATATTAAGCGTCTGTTAATCTATTTTCCAAATGCTCAGCCACTTTTTGCTGATGAGCTGGCCAATTTAAGGACACTCGCTGCCATTTGCCGCAGGCACACTCCAAGCGAAAAAGAGTTCGCTTAAATATTTGACTAATGATTAAATGGATCTTAATTACGCTTAGGTTTTATGAGACTCTTTGCCAAAGTTTACGATTATTTAGCTGTTATAACTATAACCTAATTATATTTAATGCTGGCAAAAATCTATAAAAATCTTTGCAGAGTTAATAGATTTGTGGAACTTTGTGCGTTTGAGTTAAGCAGAAGTAGTTAGTTATGATTTGTGTTTGCTATATATATATATATATATATATATATATATATATATATATATATATATATTCCTGATCAGTATGAATAGCAGAGCACATTTATATATAGACAGATGTATTCGAGTGAACTGCCGAGGATTAAATACCCTAGACTTTTCTGTTTATCGAGATAAATTCTGATTATATATATAATATGAGCCAAGTCTCAACAAGATCGCGCTACATTATATCTATTTATAGGTCTATAGTAAGACTTTATTTATTTATATTCCCTTTTCGAAGATATTTTTATCAAACTCTACATTAACGAGCTTCTCTTTACTCACATCTTCAAGAGTCTTCAAATGTACAAATACAAATACATCAGCCCCAACTAGTTAAAGCTTACTTGCAGCTCTTCTATTTTGTTATTTACCACAATTTGATGATACCCTTTCCATCAGTTGCGTCTGTGCGTAGAGCATGAAAAAGGGGCCTTCATTAAAAACCCTTCTTGTTGCAGTGTGGCCGAAATAAGCCGCTTAAAAAAACGAATTTAACCAAAATTTTAGAGCAAAAAGAGTTTTTGGTCAAACGCAAAAAAAGTTCGAATCCAAATAAATGTGAGCGAATCGAGCGCATAAAAAAGTTGAGCTAAACACTTGGTCAGCCAGATCTATATTTTAAATAATTGAAAAGCAAAACAAAAAGCTGAAGCAAAACAAAAGACATTTAAAATAAGCGCAAAATTGGCACAAAAACACGAGCAGCGAAGCGTGAGCCTAACGACAGGAGTACGGGTGGGGGAGGGTGGGGTGAGGCTGTTGCCAAAGTGCGGAGTGTTAAACAGGACACACGGCAACAATATGGCTACGAGTTGACACACTAACAATCACTGCAACAACAACAAGAACAAAACCAACAGCAACAACAAAACATAAACAACAATAGCAATAAGCGCTGAGAGCTGCGAAACTGGGCGCAGCTTCCCACCTGAGTGCAGCCCACCTGAGCGCTGACAGACCCGAGGCAGGGGATTGTCGGAGGCTTGCCAGTTAGCCAGAACTGAGGCGGCGGCAGCGGGATTGACGCAGGCTTGCCAGATAGGCGAATGTGTGTACATATTTACATACAGTTCACTGAGCACACACACACACACACAGACACATTGGCGCGGACAAGCCTGGACAGCGGCATGGTTAGAACCTGGGCAGGTGTGTGCGGCGTAGGGGGGGACCTTATAAATGTGAACATCAGAGGAAAGTGAAATGGACAGAAGAAGAAGCAGCAGAAGCTGAAGCAGAAGCACAAGCTTGTTGCCAAAGTTGGCTTTACAATGGGCAACCGAGGGTGCCAAAGACACGTGCAACTCGGCGCGTGAATGCGAAATGCTGCCCGCCAGAGTGTAACCTGTCTGTGTGTGCGCGTGTGTGCGTGTGTGGGGTGTGTTTGTCGACGGCTCGAATAGAAAACATTCAAATTAAGCAGCTTAAAATGTATGCCAAAGCCAGGCAATCAAACTAAGGCGCAATAAGTTGAGTAAATGTAAGCAGCAAAAAGAATCGATATTTGGGTAAAAAAAATTATAAAATATTAAAGTAAAGTCTACTAGAGAAGCCCCAAACCAAAACTTAAACTGTAAAGGCGGCATATATAATCTACTTTATGTCGCGAGCATTTCCAAGCTCTCAGTTCGTATATAGATAGTTGAAATAATAATTAAATATTGCAAGAGATTTTCTTAAAATTTGATGAGCATCATTTCTTAACACAGACAATTTTTCTTTATTCTACTTAAAATATATACTTTCTATTAAATTACATAAAGAAAATTTCCGAACTGAAGAATAATAAAATGTATATTTAGAGTGTATTATAATTATGTCGTGAAATGTGCAACGCATAGAAGGAGACATCTCCGACCCCATAAAGTATATATATTCTTGATCAGCAGCAACAGCCGAGTCTGTTTCTATGCGGACTAGTCTCTCAGTTATAAGGCTCTCTTAATGAAACTTTGCAGAAATCCCTCTTTCTGTTGCACGCAGCAACACATATGTCATATGCCAGCTGGATCGGACTACTATATCATATAGCTGCCATAGGAACGATCGGTCGTAAATTAAGTTGTTGTATGGAAAAACATTTTGCTTATCGAGATATTTTGCCCAATTTCGGCATTAACTATTTTCCCTGTGGTTCTTAGATAAGCATTATGAAAAGGTTGGGTCTGCAATGGTATTAGATCTTCGGCATGCCGAAGATAGCCTTTCTCTTTCGTCTAAAATAAGATTAAGAGCAGCTTTTTGAAACTCTGATTTGATACTCTGACAAATAAATAAAACAATCTATTAATTGTATAGAGTAAACATTTAAAATTGCAGGTATTTTCTTAACATTTGTTTAGGAGCATATATAAAGTTCGACTTCCAAGCGACAGTTTTTTACAATTTTAAATTGTTTATTCGATAAATTAATGTCTGCTGATTTTGGATAAACTTAATTTTTATACATATATTATCTCACATAACCAAAATGCCATCATTGGAGAATTAATAGAATCGATTGTATTTGATTTGTACAGCTAAATTTAACATAAATGTCAATATTGTTATTAAATGGGCAACTAAAACTACATCGATCAATTTCAAGCTGCCGGCAAAGTGAAAACAAATAATGCAAATGCACAACAAGTGAAGGCAGCACAAAATGCACAAAATGCCGTCAACGGCAGGCAAAAACAACAACAGCAACAAATAATTCAAGCTAAACAACACTAAAAACAACAACAACAACAAAATGCACATGAACAACAACAAATACAACAATAAAAATAACAATAACAGTAATATGAGCAAGAGTAGCTGCAAAATGCGCCTTTGGCCATATTTTGGCATGTTCTTGTGGCTAATATGCAGTCCGGCCAATGGGCAGCCATCGTTAACGGAGAAAATACCTTTAGGTAAGTAGAAACTTTCTAGGTAATTGGTAATTGATGGGCACAAAAAACGGCCGCCCAGCTGCTGCCCCTGTTGCAGTTAGAGTCGCTGCCAGTCGGCCCGTTCTTGAGGCATTTCGTAAACTGAAACCGGCACGCTTATTAACTTGCACAAAATGTGCTCTAAATTGGCCAAGACAAGGCAGCAACAACAACAACAACAACAAGAAAATAACAACAAGCAAAAGAAGCCTGCCAAGTTTCTTCATGTGCCCCAAACCTCTTCAACTCAAATAAAATTCAAGCGCAAAAGCAATTACAAAGTTTAAAGTGCCTTTGCTTTTCAACCTAATTGACAATTTCACAGCAGCGGCAACGACTTAACTCTCTCTCTCTCTCTCTTCCACTCTATCTCTCTCTCTCTCTCTCTCGTCTGCCCACTCATCAACAGGTGCCATCTTCGAGCAGGGCACCGATGAGGTTCAATCGGCCTTCAAGTATGCAATGCTCAATCACAATCTGAATGTCTCGACGCGCCGCTTTGAGCTGCAAGCCTATGTGGATGTCATCAATACGGCGGATGCATTCAAATTGTCCAGACTAAGTAAGTATTTAATGTTCAATTGATACCCTGTAAATGGGCCATCGCTTAATATTAATATTATTATATGACGCACGTCATTCTATGTGCATAGAAGAGCTTATACTGACTGACTGATTGGTGTTAGATCTAGCAAGCTTAAGGTCGCCGGTTCAATTTAAGCAGCAGTTTCAAATTATAAATGGGCCTTGGCTTAGGTACCTTATATTATTTGGTGATTTGTGGCATATGTATATAGTTGACATACATCAATCAATCAGCTTATAGAACTAATCAGTGGTAGGTCGCCGGTTCAAACTCAGCAGCAATTGCCAACTTTTAATTGTAAATGGAAATAAGCTTACTTTGTTTATATTATTTTGGAATTTTAGGCATACAAAGAGGACATATGTCAATCTAAGTAATTGGTAATAGAACTAGCAAACGAAAAGACGCTGGTTCGAATTCTAATTCCATTTTTTAGATTTCAAGTGTCAATCGTTCTTGCTAACATTATATTATTTTGCCATTTGTGACAATTAACTGAATGATTGTTCATAGAACTAAGAAGCGGCAAGTCACTGGTTCAAATTTTGTAGAAATTTTAAATTTCTAAGTGTTTATTTAATTTTAAATTATTCTTTTTTTATGAAAATATAAAAAAAAAAAATTGATAATTGATATGGGAACATAATGATAGTTAAAGAACTATTAAGTAATACATATTTTTAATTTAATTTATATACGAAAATATATTTATTAATAAACTAAACGACGGGTAATTTTGGCTAGACTAATTACTTGCTCAATAATAGTTACTAGAACAAGCTTTCTTTTTATGCTTCGAACATTTCCAAACAGTTAAACTAGATGAAGAGCTTAAATAAGCTAGCACCAAAAACACAGCTTTATCTCCACGAGTCCACAATTTAATTCCAAAAAAGTCAAAATTTACGTATTTCTAGAATTAAGCAACTACATACTGACACTCGACTGTTATTGCTTATGAGATATATAAATACTCTAAAAAAAAACACTTTTCACATAATTTATTTGCGCTGTGGGGCATAGAAAAAAAAAATAAATAAATAAATATAAAAAGCAACCACACACAATATGAGAATTATAATGTTGAGTGAAACTAGTTGAAAAAGCAAATAAAATCTCGTCAGCGAGTAATTTTGCGCACAGTTTTAAATGTTGGCTAACCATAAAATTTGCAACTATTTATTTATTTTTTTTCGTTCGCACAGTTTGTAATCAGTTCTCACGGGGCGTTTATGCCATGCTGGGCGCGGTGTCGCCCGACTCGTTTGATACGCTGCACTCCTACTCGAATACGTTTCAGATGCCCTTCGTGACGCCCTGGTTTCCGGAGAAGGTGAGTGCCGTTCACGTTCTAATAAATATTAAAGGGCAGCCCTTTTTGGCTATTTAAATATGAAATATTAATCATACGCAACGTTGACTATTCGACAAAATCTAAATTGGCCTGGTGTAACCTTGAAAATGCATAAGCAAAACTTTGCATGTTGCCCAAAATGTGGCAAAATCACAATTTATGTGCCGGCATCCAAATCATTATAAATACACGGCTCAGTTTCTGTTGAGACTCTCCGGCAATAATGATGTTCTATGGCGTTGCGTGTGCGTGTGCTCTTTAAAAATTTATAACACACTTTTGTCCTCCATTTTGGAGGGCAAGGCTCGGCTCTATAAATCAAGCAGGCAAATACCCAAAACGAGCCGAAAAAACAATGGGCCCAAAGCCCAGCAGCAGCAATGAGGACTACACTCAATAATGATTCATGTTTACTAACTTGCCATATTCTCTCTCACTCACTCTTACACACATTCACAGTCTGTTTCGTTTACACTATATGAGCTGTATTTTCCATAATTTGCGCGTTTTAGGTGCTTACGCCATCGTCTGGCTTCCTGGACTTTGCCCTCAGCATGCGCCCGGATTACCATCAGGCCATCATTGATACAATACAATTTTATGGTTGGCGCAAAATAATTTATCTCTACGATTCCCACGACGGTGAGTACATACATACATTATATACATATATATACCTTTGCATTTGCCTGCACTCAAAGAAAAATGTATAATATCAGCACGAAGCATATATTGTGCTCTAAGCTTAGTGTTCGAATCCCCATGAAGAAGTCGGACAATGCGAATGGGACTCGGCGTCGGGCAACGCCGGTTTATTTCGTCGGGTACTTAACTAAAGATTATGCATGCTTGAAATAAGCGTGAAACGTATTAAAAGAAGGGAATTTCAAAGTATTACCCATAGCCAATTGTATTTAAGTCTTGCTCCTAGAAATATGGGGATTTACATTTCTGAATTAACCGAGTTCTGGGTTTAAGAGCATACGAACTTAATTCGAGCACACAATTCTCTTTTTCTCCGAGTGTGTACATACTTTATAAAGTGTAAGATTGAGCACGGAATTCCGCGCCCAGTTCCGGCTGTGCCCAGGGGAGTCAATAATCTGCCATTGCCTGAAAACTTCATATTATATGAGAGATGGGTTTTATGTAAGGTTACAGCACATACTCCCCTCTCCCTCCCTCTTCCTCTGCCCCTCTCTGCTGTTGAGTCAATTTGCTTTGTTATAAGTTTTTGCGAGGATTTTCCATTTAGCCGCTTTATAAATAAAACTTAATGACACAGCCGTCTGCGCTGACAGACAATTGGCTTATATGACGGGACGAGTCGAGATTCACACAGACACACACACACACAGACACAGAGAGCAGGGCCTTTGCAGAGTGACAGACAGGCAGGCAGGCCAGACGGTGGGATCAGGCAATGCCTGGTCAACTGGCGGACGTCTGTATTATTATTATTAATGAATGCCACGTGAAAATCTCTTCTCTTCTTTTTTTATGATTCTCGCGCAACAGCACTCAATCAATTTAACCACAGCGAGTGTTAACGTTGAGTGTGTGAGTGAATGACTGTCTCTGTGTGTGTGTGTGTGTGTGTGCGGGATTTGTGTGCTTTGAGGCGTTTTGTTTGTTTTAAGTTGTTTGACTAGGCTATGGAAATATATGGCACTCAATCAATTTCAAGCATAGCACAAATAATCATATTTCGCACAGGTGTGAGAACTGAATATTCATTTGAGGTGGGACACGCACACGCACACACACTTGTGTCTTTGTGTTTAGCCAAACTTGAGATTTCAATTGTGTGCCAAGTAAATATTTGCGTATTAAAATACTTGATAGAATAATAGCAAAGATCAATAATAAATCAAGCGAAATCATTTTTCATATTTTCTATGCAAAAACCAAAAAAATAAAGCAAGAGCTAAGAAGTCTGGAGTTTGCCTTTCGATTCGATGTAAGTTTCATTTTATTCTTAATTTCAATTATGGTAATTAAATTCTATTTGTAATTGAAAGTATTTAAAACAAATCAAGGAATTAAATTCTTTTTGTAATCTAAAATATTATGTATTTTGTAATTTGTAGTAAAGGGCAAAATTCAATGCTAACAATTATTTAATATATAATTTCTTGGCACAATTCCACAATTGTGGAATTCTAAAAATCAGGGCTTACCTTTCAATGAAACATTTTTCCTAAGGAGAAGAGGGTAGAGGGTATTATAATTTTTTGTCATGAATTGTATATATGCATGGAAGGGTATACGTCCGATCCCATAAAGTAAATATATGTTTTTTTTCTTAGTATCGATCAGTATCTTCTGATCTCTCTGTCTCTCTCTCTGTCTTTGTCTTTGTCTCTGTCCCTCTCTCTGTCCCTCTCTCTGTCCCTCTCTCTGTCTCTGTCTCTGTCTCAGCCTCTGTCTCTGTCTCTCTCTCTGTCTGTCTCTGTAACTTATATGACATTAACATAGAGGGGTATTTACAATCAAGGAGAAGGATGATTCGCCTCGCAGAATAGGCTGTAACCCTTAGGAAGAGTCTCCCACTGATGGAGTCAGTCGGGAGCCTGGCGACTAGCATCAACAGCCGAGCTGATAAGCCGTAGGAAAATCAAATTCCTCTCAAAGCAATTTCATTTTCAACTGAAAATTTATTACAATTTTGTCATTTACATTGTAAACTTGAAAGCGAATGCATGTCTGCAGCAAGTCTAAAGCTAGCGCGAAAAAAACATCTCGTTTCCTTTAGCCGAGTGCCATGCGTAAATCTAAATTTCAAATATTGACCCTAATATCTTGGCCATTTAAAAACTAAGTCAAAATACAGATTTCGTTTATTTGGCCACGCCTTGCATTTTGTTTTTTTTTCATTCTTTTTGTTTTGCTTCACAATAATTGTAGCTCTTCAGTTTATGGCCATGTTTACACAGCCGGCGTGTGAGTATCTCGAAGGATGCTTTTTTTCTCAAGAAGGGGGGGGGGGGGGGGGGGGGGGGGAGTGAGGGGATATTGGATATACACATCGGCTGCTTGGCACGTAACGCAACGCAAGTTAACGGCTTTTGTTTTGGCTAGCTGCTTGGCTCTTTGGCTCGCATGTGGCATGCGGCTCCAGCAACTGTTTATACCAAATGTATTCTTGTTGTTCTTCTTCCTCCTCTTCTGGCTGTGTGTTTATTTGCGCCACGCAAAACGAGTTTATTATACAGAAATTGGAGAAACATTTTACGCCCCGAACCCTGACCCCTGAGCCAAAAACTATTTATGGCCATTGGCAGCGCTAAAGCAATCACCACAACAACAACAGCAAAAAGAAAAAACTACAACAACAACAAATACTAATGGCCACTCTATGGAAAAGGCTCACCCACAATGTTTTCTATATATATGTATGTATATATTTCTTTTGGAAGGGCATCACGCCCTAATTCATGCGTTTAGGCCCGCCAGCTTATGGGTTTATTGTCGCTTCCATTTATGACTTGCGACTTGCGAAATTGGCGTACACCCATTTTAATTTTGGTCATAAGTTGATGGCTTTTTGTATTGCACATAGGATGTGTGCCATGCAGAATGTGTGCCTGCAGCAACTTAGGCCGCAACGAAATATATTCCCGAGACGCATTTACAAATATTGTATTTCTATATATTCGATTTGTACAATTTCTACTGTTTTTCCAATTCCTTGCACATTTTTCTATTTGGGTAAGCAACATTTTTATTTAAAAGTATTTTCGTTTAATTTGCAGCTTTCAAGCTTACATAACTTTCATAACAATATCTATTTAACAGACAGAAGGAAGCATCTCCGATTCCTTTAAGTATATTTTGAGCAAATCCTGTAGAGCTGGAGTGTCCAGATACAGATCAAGCATCTTTTATTTGATAGCTAGTTAGTCCAAGTAGAAGAAGGATCAGGGTATACCCTAGTCGGTCACTCCCGACTAGCAGAATTTTGGCTATTAATATTTCACTCAAAGAACTTTAAGATTCTTAGATAGCTCAACTCAGCTTTTATTCTTATGTTTTATCAAGATTTTGTATCGGATTTGTTCGATTACGTTTATCTTACAACAAAGAGATTGACAAGTTTTTTTTGTAACATTTGTTCGAATGTTCTACCCATAAGTATATATGTTTATTTGCTTTAGAAATGAGACATTCCAGCTTCCGAAATTTGAATACGAGAAATGCGTAAAAACCCGATTCGAATAGCCAAGTTAAAGATATTTTTGGCTGCTGATTTGGTATTAAAAGCGTACAATCAAGAGTCTGCAATGAAAGTAAATGTCTCACTTATTTTTTAGCACAGTGCCACACACACACACACGCAGTCTCATTATATATGTATGTGTGCATATATATATAGAGATATACGAAAGAATCTCATGTTTCCTGAGCACCCGGACAGCAGCAGCAGCAGAGGCAGCAGCACGAGGGTATTAAAAGAATGAGTCCTGTCAGGGCGAAGGCGTATTGTTGTTGCTCTTACACGAAAATTTATTACGCAGGACACTTAGTGGCAAAGGGGGAGAGAAGCGGAGAGGCATTTGCATTTGTCGCCCGGTTAGGAAAATTGCCAGCTCATCGGGCAGTCAGATAATGAGTTTTTCCATTCCATGTGCCTGTGCCGCCTGTCTGCTTTCGCCCAGAGACTTGGCTAAATATTTTATTAAACATCCGAGAAACAACAGGTAAGAACAGGTAACAAATCTTTGAACCGGGCAGAGCTAATCAATGTGGCGAGTGTTTTGTGGATTTATGCAAATGGTTTTGTTTATAGATTGATTGTCGATGATTGGCTTTGATTGTCTTTGAATATTAGAAAAGGGCCGAAAAGCAAATGTAAACAATTCCATGTGTATACCCTGTAAAAATATAGACAGCAAAGTGGGTATGCTACACTTTTAGCTACATTATCTAACAGTTGGGATAATTAATTATTAATTTTAATAACAATTTTTAGAAATTATACAACAAATTGTAGCCTCTTTCTTGTATTGCTATTCTTTACTGGATATTAAGCCTAGTCGAGCATGCCCTTTGCATTTTTGTACATAAAAATCTGGCACAAATCTGATTGTTGGTGCCATCATGAATAACAATAAGCAAATGCGTATGCATTCGGTTTTCGGACTAGAAATCATATAATAATCAAATCACAAATTTGCATAGACTGCGTCCGGGAAGGCTTCGATCTGGCGCTTGAAACTGTTTTGCCATTAATTCAACCATAATGGGCTTTTACAGCGATTTCACTTTCATGTTATTTGATACTTTTGATGCCGCCTGCTGCCAGAACCATTGAAAACATATGCGCATAAGGCAAATCCTTTTCAGCCAGTTCGTATCACTTGCCACGCCCACTCTCTGCCTGCCTCCCTCCCGCTGTCCCTCACTCTTTCAAAGTAATTAAACCAACAAAGTTTCTGATAACACAACAAGAAGAACAACAGCAACATCAACAGCAACAGCAGCAAACAAGTGAAGGCCATAACAAGCAGCTAAGTTACAAAGTGGTTGGGGCTGCGCTTTAAGAGTTAAACATCTAAGATTTTCTTAAAGGATAGTTGTGCCTTTCAAATATTTATAAGCAAATGATTTAAAGAGATAAGTTTCTGGCAAGCGTGAAGGGT